TCCCCCTCCATCCCCCTCTCCATCCCCACCTCCAGCTCCCACTCTCTAGCTAAGCCAGTTCATTCTCCAATTTTTAATGCAGCTATAGCTTTTTTCTCATTTCTAGGCTGGGTTCCTTCCTCTGCACTCTCTTCCCTCCTGTGGAGCTGGCATCACTAACAGTCTCTTCTGCTTGCCAGTCAGCTTAGGTCCCCCCAGAAAGGAACTACCATGCACAGTATCTAGGTCCTGCGAGTGTGGTCCCTGGCGCAGGAACAGGCATGAAGATGTATGGGCACACAGCTTCCATAAAGAGTCATTTGTGACTGAGTAACCTTGTAACTCAGAACTAGACCCTGAGTACATCTTGGTCTCTCCTGAAGATATTAATTCTCCCAGAAACACTTAGGCTCAGGCAGAAGAGGCAAAGAGAGGCAAAAGGCTGTATTTGACAGTGGAAGTGGCATTGTGACTACTTTGGTGTGAAGGCACAGAAGGATGAGGAGCCCTTGTGCCGGTTAATGACATCAAATGCCACTTCAGCAAGTGGCTTCTTTGCATTCTTCTAAGCACAGGGCCAGCTTATCAGGAATGTTTAGCAAATGAGTTGTCAGGCTCCCTGCCATGATGACCAATGCCATATATAAATAGAGAGGACTGCCTAACGGTTACCTGTGACTCCCACCCCCATGCAGCCAGCTCGCTCCTCTCTCTCCCTGCCCCCTCTTTCTTCTCTCTTCCTGCCCTGCTCAGTGCTGGGGACTGAACCCAGGATCTCATGTATTCAAAGCATCTCCCACTAGCAAGCTGCATCCCCAGCCCAGAAGAGCCAGCTCTGCGGCCCACCGTTGGGCTTTCGGTCCTCCGAGGGTCGGGCACTTACCTGTAATGTACATCCAAACACTCCGATCATCAGCATGGCCACCGAGAGGTAATCTGTGAACACATCCCACCATGGCTTCAGCACCCGGAAGGCAGGCTGCTGCTCGGAGAACTGGCGAAACTCGGTCACTGGAATCATGCTTCTGGGAAAAAGGCGAATTCTGGTTAGTAAACTTTTCTTTGGACATCACATAGGGCATTTTTCTTTCTTTTTCTTTTTTCTTTTCTTTTTTTTTTTCTTTAGCAACATCTGAAATGCTTTTGTGAACCGCAGGAGCAGGATGTTCTGTAGTCAAAGGGACCCACAGTGTTCCTGAGCCGGTGATGGACCGCCAATGGAAAACTGAAGAGAGCCACACACAGCTGAGTTAGTCTGGTAACCAAGCTCCCTCCGCGCTCCTCGGATTCAGACATACCCAGCTACTCCCTGGACCCCCACTTCCCTCAAGTAGAGCATGAAGATGCCATAGAGATGGGGTGCATGCTCTGACGTGTCTTTGCTATTCCTTGCCTGAGGTTATGCTGTGGTGTCCACGTCATCTCTGTACCCGTCTGTCACTCCTTTCCTGGGACCTATTCATGGGCGCTTTGCTTACTCTACAGGGAAGGAAACCATGGCTAGCTACGCGGCCACTGTCCTTTAGTAGACTGTGTGTGTGTGTGTGTGTGTGTGTCATTTTCTCCTCATTTTTTGTCGAAATGCTCTTGCTTCCGTTCCTTTTCTGTTTCTTACATGTCATATTTCACTGTGAATCTCAAACATATCCCGATGTTCTGTTCTGAGAAGTCAGTTTGCCCTGGAAACTTGCTACATTTTGGATCAGTGTTCCCTAGAGGGCCAGTGTTAATACAGGAATGGCCACCAACCTATGGTACTTCTGGGAGGAGGAAGACCTTTAAAAGATCAGGCCCAGTAGAAGGAAATTAGGTCACTGTGAGTGTCCCTTGAAGGGACCCTGAGTGCTTGCTTCTCTCTCAGCTTTCCAGCTGTCACATGACCAGCAGGCCTTGCCTGGATGTAATTCCATGCCAAAGACCCAACCAAGAGTCAGAGGCAAACAGACGATGGCTAAAGTGTTTAAGAGCATGCACCAAAGGAAACCTTTCATCTTGTAAAGTTGGTTTATCCCAGGCATTTCTTACAGTAGTACAAAATGAACATAAAAATAGAATCTTTGTAAAAATGACTGCTAACTGCTCAGCATTAAATGGGACATTAATGCCCCTCCCCAAACCCAGGGAACTAAGGGAGAGGAGCGGGAAGAGGATGGGGAGAAGTGCTGTTTTCTTGATCCATGAACACATATCCACCGTGGATACCTGCGCTTGATCTAAATGAGACTGGGCCCTCCAACATCCCACGGTGAACCGGGGCGGAACTTTGAGGCCCATGACTGCCTGAGGAGCTATCGGAGGGAGTGGTTGCTGGAGGAGGAAACCAGGGTCCTCTAAGAACAGCAAGTGCTCTTAAGAGCTGAGCCAACTCTCCATCCCGTCCCCCAAATATGTGAAAAGCTACAGCTATGGAACCGACAGCAGCTGCATGCACAGGGTACACCTGAGACTCTGGCGAAGGAAGCAGGCGCACCCCCTGGGTCTGTTCTCTCACATGCCCATTCTCACAATCTTTCCTGTGACCCAGGGCTCCTGTGAGTGTGTCGGTGGCCACAGCTCTGAAAGTTATCATAATGTTCATTCTATCTTGCTGCTTTACAACTCTTTATTTAGTCTTAGTTTGGTTTAGTTTTGTTTTGAGACAGGGTCTCTCTACATAGCCCTGGCTGTCCTGGAACTCACTATATAGACTAGACTGGCCTCAAACTCACAGAGATCCATCTGCCTCTGCCTCCCGAGAGCTGGGACTAAGGGTGTGCACACTACCACACTCAGCTACAACTGTTTCTTAAACAATAATTTGGGCTTTCCTCTTTTGGGTTTATTCTTTAATAATGTTGAGAATTTCAGCCCTCGGCTCTTACAGCCTGTCTCCTTGACATCTGAGCAGCATTGATGTGGTTTTTCCGTCTTCCCGGAACACAATTCCACACTAACCCCACCAGCTACCACCGGCTTCTGGAGAACTGAGCGTACTACGTCACGCATGTGCGCCAGCCCCAGTTTGCCTTCCGCCACTGTGACCAAAGGCAGCATGGGGAGGAAAGGATTTACTGGCTCACATGCCCTGATCACAGCCCATCTCTGAAGAAAAGTCAAGGCAGAAACTCAAGCAGGGCAGGCACATGGGGGCAAGAACCAAAGCAGAGCTCTTGGATGAACCCTGCTTGCAGGCTTGCTCTCCATGGCTTGCTCAGCTTGCTTCTTTGTACAACCCAGGACCACCACCCCAAGGGAGACACCAACCCTAGTTGGTTGCCCCCCCCATCAATCATTAATCAAGAAAATGCTCCCCCCCCCCAACCTGCCCTCGGGGCAAGCTGATGGAGGCAATTCCTCAAATGATGTCTTCTCTTCTTCGATGACCTGGAATAAAGTTGACAAGCACTAAACAGCAGTGTCCTTAAAACACGTTCCAGGCAAGCCACTCAGACGCACCCAATCATCTTGGTCCGTTGTTGAGCGCAGGGCTAGCTCACACCAACCACAACAGTCTCACCGCCCTCAAGGTGCTGAGGTCCTTGTTTTGACACAGCCACAGACGGGCTCTACATCAGTTGGATTTCCAAGTTCTGCTCCAGAGGTGGTTTATCCTGTGTGGCATTCACATCGCCAACCATCATTCCTGGAAACCAAGAAGCTCTGAGCCACTGTTGGAGAAATAAAGGAAGGGATTCAGCGGCTCATTTGCCGGGGGCGGCGCTGACAGCTTGGTGACAGTGGTAACTGATGTAGCCCACTGGTTCTTTCACGGGTTTGGTGGTTGTGTCTTTCACAAGTTCCTTTAACCGTAGAAAGAACTGGGCTCATTCACTTAGGTGGTAGACAATTTCAGGGAGGAGACCACCACAGGGGGGCAAGGCTTTCACCTCCCCTTCTTGCTCAAAATGTAGTGAAAATCCCCACGTGTTTGCTATGCTCTTGAATATGGAACGTTAGAAATGAAAAACAAGAATTTTGTAAAACATCCATTCATTTATGAAAAGGAGTAAACGTACAATATAAAAAGTGTTGGTTGCACATTAACACATGTTTCTCATGAAAGACTAAGAACTCAGAAACGGGGGAAAAAACACCTCATTACATGTTAACAGATGTTATGAAAAGTCAAATCTTCCAAAACACAAAAAGATGGAATTATTTTACACCTTTGCAAATCTCTCCAATATCTAAATAGAGGTGACAGTTAGATTCTCAGGTCTAGTTCTGAAGTCCATGTGTTGTGACATGCTGTTTGGGTTAAAATGCATGAGACTGAACACAGCCTCACAAAAATATGAGTTCAGAAATGCAAGGCCTATGTGAACAGGCTTTCATGTAATTATGGATATTTATTTTTTGAGACCTTGACTAGTTACAGCATGGATACTAGGGAGGGAGGTAGCAATGAGCCTCACTCTGAGGGCTTCTGTTGGGCCCCAAGAGTATCAAAGGTAATGGGCATCAGCTGATGCATATGGGGCTAGAACCAAGCAGGTAGAAAGGTTAAAACTTGACCGGGGTGGGCTGCTCTCTCTACGGATCTACTTTGTATCTTTCTCTCCTGGAGTAGTGTGTTCACCCAGCTACAGGCCTTTTGCGGCCAAAGCAGAGGCATCAGCTGGCTACAACTGCAGTGCAAAGCCACTTAAGGGTACAGAAGACCTGCCTGAGGCAGGCAGCTGCCCAGATCCCCAGGCATAATTACCCAGCAGGCAGTAGTCCTGCCTGCAGGCTGGTGTAGCCAAGGAGGCAAGCAGATTTCTTCCCTTGCTTTAGGCCAAACTATCGAGCTAGAGTCAGCTGCACAGAGTTCATCAATGCTGGAGAAATGCAGAGGTTCTGTGGGTGCCCAGCATGAGGGAGCCAGATATGGATAGGAACATAGGGAATGTTTTCATGCTGTATTAAACCTAGCTAATGTTTTACTGTAGTATCTCCTTAGTTACAGACTTCTGAGACTGGCTGATGGTTGACGGGCATGAATGGCAATGGACGCTGAGTATTTCATTAAGGTTATCTTTACAACCACACTACCTTTTACGGGATGGTGGACAAGGAACTTCTTTGCTGTTCTGCCAGTGTTATGTAAATGGTTTCAATATGGAGCTGGAGAGAGAGGCTTGGCAGTTAAGAACGTGGCTGCTCTTCCAGAGGACACAGGTTTCTAGCACCCACACGGTAGCTCTCAACTCTCTGTAACTCTGGCTCTAAGGGCTCTGATGCCCTCTTCTGCCTCCAAGGGCGCTGCACACATGTGGTGCACACACATATTACAGGCAAAGACCCATACCACACAATAAACAAGCTTTTATTATACAGAGGGCACAATGCTAACTTCTGAGTGTTTTAAAGGTCTAGAAAGTTCCTTGAGGGACAGATGTGTGTACACACAGGAGAGAGTTTGAGAAGTCAGCTCACAAAGACAGCAAGGGCTAGATGCAACTGTGAAGTTCTTGAGAACTTTATGCTTGGGTGGTCATAGATGACACTAAGGTGACTGACAGAACTCAGTGACAGCCTGTGGCTGTCATTATTACAGAGTGAATGAATGTATTCTGTATGGAGAAGGATTCTCCCAGAAGGGATACGGTTGTTGACTGGGGGTCCGAGTGCTGGCCGTGGGTAATTTTCCTACGAGTCGTTGGCCAACAAAGCCCAAGAGACTTCCAAATGATAAAAGATACACCACTGCTTATACCAGACCTTATTTCTGAAGACATTACTCGCCTTGGTTGCAAGACTTGGAGAAATCAAGCTGGGACTGAATTCTCCCTTGAGATTAGCTTTTGTAGTGCCAGATGTGTTATTGAGGTGGCTGGGAAACAATGGCCCAGAGCCCTAATCAGCTGGGTGTTTACAGGCATGGAAAGCTGTCTGAGAGACACATGAATGTGCCCAGATGAGCAATGTTGGGAAGTCACCTCAGTCAGTCAAGGGATGCAAGGGCCAAGAGCTACAGAAGTGCCAGGCAAGATGTGCCAGACAGTGCAACAGTGCTTTCAGGTGTTATGGGTACATCAACTTTGGAGTTAACCCCCATTCTACAGAGGGGCAATTCACATCTGGTACTGTGAGCTTTGACAAAACACTGTGGCTGAGGAATCATAGTCCTCAGCTATTTGTTCTAAGAATATGATGTGCTGCCTCAAGTGTTTTGCAAACACTTGTGTTTATGCTCATGGGTTGTTTCCAGTGTCAGCTTCTAGTCGAGTGTCTTTCCATTTCTCATCTTTCCCCTTGGTTGTATTTTGTGATAGAAGGACTTTCTTTGAGCCACACTCAAATGGGAGGCGCTGGGCAGGAGGGTTGGGTACCCCACTGGAGTTAGAGAATAGCTGGACGTCTGTGTCACCCCCTCCAAGGTTCAAGAACTCCTGTGGGGAAGTGAGGTGGAAAACTGTGAAATTAAGGTCACTAAGTTCCACCTCAAACAACGGATGGGGCTCTTCCTTGAGGCACCTCTGCACTCTGGAGTGTTCTGAGCCCAGCAATATCTAGTTAAAGGATGGACAGTCACTAAAACAATAACTTCTACCGAGTCAAAGAGGCAGTATAATAAACTGAGAAAAAAACCAAACAAGTTTGTCAGTGTGCCTTTAGGAAGACTATGCTCCTCCCCCTCCAGTCCAGGGCCTTGATCTCGATTTCTGAAAAGTACCTACACACCACTGATTTTGCACCATCAGTGACAAAGGCAAAAGACATGTTAGCATTACAAAATGTTGACCTTGTGGGGTTCCTTACAGGTCTGGGCTAGTGGGGTTCCATGGGCTACCAAGGCAGAGGCTCGCTGGTCGTTATTGGTGGCTTTCCTTGAAAAAGCAAGGGTCTGGAGCTCACAGCAAGTGAGACTCCCTGAGCCCTTAGCTGAGGTGTCTCCTGGGCATCACACTTTACTATGGGAAATAAAGGTGAACTAAGGAGCCAAAGCATGCTCATGGGGTGTGGTGGTTGGAAAGAAAAAGGCTCCCATAAGGGAGCGGCACTATCAGGAACTGTGGCCTTGTTGGAGGAAGTGTGTCACTATGGAAATGGGCATTGAGGTCTCATATATGCTCAAGCCACACCCAGTGAGACAGTTCACTTCCTGTTGCCTGTGAGTCAAGATGTAGAACTCTTAGCTCCTTCTCCAGCACCATGTCTGCCTGCATGCTGCCATGACCTGCCGTTATGATAATAATGGACTGAACCTCTGCAACCATCAGCCACCCCAATTAAATGTTTTCCTTTGTAGGAGTTGCCATGGTCATGGTGTCTCTTCACAGCAATAGAAACCCTAACTAAAACACGAGGCAAGTGCTTTCCTTGCTGGGCCATCTCCCTACTACTCACCCATACACGTGTGTGTGTGTGTGTGTGTGTGTGTGTGTGTGTGCGCAAATTTCCCATATACACATAAAATAGTGAATATTTATACTTTTAGTGAGGAAGAGGGGTGAATTGTTTTCAATTTTAAAATAGTCATGCAAGATCAACAGGCGTCTGGGTAACATCACAGGCAGAAGGTCCCTTTGCCTTGGGCCAGGACATGAGCACAATGGAGACCAGTATGGAGAAGGCACACATGATTTTACATGCACAGAGTCTTCCCATTCGTACCCAAGGGTCCACAAGTCAAAGGAAGTCATCAGGATACAAAGTATCAGTCATAATACACAAGCTGCTTTTCTTTAGCAGTGTGAAGAGGAGGGAAAGAGGCATACTTTCTCGATTACATAGACAGCATGTCTTTCTTCCTTGGGAGAACGTGACTCTGAATAGAGTTTTACTCTGTGGCACACACGACAACCTATTTCTAGAAAAATCCACCAAAGGAGGTCGTGGTGAAACGATGCTATAGAAACACACTTCGTTAAAGAGGAAAATCCTAAGTGCGTTACGAATTAGAAGCGAGAGGGACCAGAAGGTTGGCCATCCCGTTCATACCATCATTTTAGGGGTGAGAAACCTGAGTCAAGAGAAACCAGATGCTTGATCAAGGACGATACCTAGCTAGTGGAGAACCGGAACCTCCAGCCGAAGTTCTTGAAGTTCTTTGATGAGGTCACAGGACGCGGGTGAGGGTTTAAAGAACCTAATGGGTTCTAAACAAACAGTTGCGGTAGAATTTCTCCTGGGCTCAATCTGCTGCCGTGACCTTCGACTGTAGGCAATGAAAACCATAAAGTGTTCTTAAAGTTTAGATAGGCTTTTAAAGACATACGGCCTTCAAGCCATCCTGAAATGAAAGCGTTTGACTCAAAGGTCTCGTAATGGTAAAGTTGACCTTGTGACTCAAGGGGGACCTCTGTATAATCGTCTCCTGGGATCTCTTCATACATTCCTGCTTCCTGTGAGTTGATAGCTCAGTTATCTTCTATAAAACGTCTTCAGTTTGAACTTCCCATGATTTCCAAGGGCAGTGATGGTAGGAAGTAAAAATTACTCCTAGTTAGCAGTTTTGGTTTCGTCTTAACCAGGGAAAAGATCACTTTCCTTTCCAGCCATCTCCTTCAAATATTTCAGAACAATCCTTTTGTAAATGTGTACAGCAAGCCATGCACCAAGGCCTTGGCTTTGTATGTTTCTGGGATCTCTATGGTAGTCTTTGGCCTATGAGGCTACTAAAAACGTGTCATGTATTTTGATCAGGAGCTGTTTGGGGCAACTCCCTGTCGAAAGCATGATTCACTTTCATTACTAATTGGCTTTCTATAAATGAATTATGAGAGTGAATTATGCCTGGCCCTGTGCTAGGGACTCAGGGAATAGAGAACACAACAGACCAGGTACTAGCCCCTCCACATATTCTCTCAGGGAAGGGGACCTGCTACCAGGATTCCCATGAAGCTGGAGCTGCAATGCTCTTCTTTCTAATCAGTGTTGACCTGTGTCTCTGTGCCAATGCTGTAGAGATTTATTTTATTGTCAACTGAGACAAAGTTTATATGTTGCTCATCTCAGAATCTTCTAGAAAACAGCCAGGGTCTTAGAAATTATCAGTGCATATCTGTTAAGTTGAAATCACATAGATACTCACACCCAATTAAGCAATTTATAGTAACCAAATCTTTCTATTATGTTACTCTTTAAAAACTTGGAACTGCAATGAAGAAAACCAAAGGCATTAATACATAGGTGCACAGTGTAAAAAATGATTAACCAAAACACATCTGGTATGAGAGAGAATGGCTGAGAAGAGCAAAGGACTCAGGAAGTATGTATAACACCAAAGCCGAGCATCAGTGAATCCCATCCCCACTACTGCTGGAGAGGGTGTGCCACGGAGATGTGGTCCTACCACTCAGCTTGGCTCCAAGGACAGGGCCAACGCCACTTGTCTGAACGTTATGAGGACACACCAGAAATAGCTCGAAGCCGAGTCTGGATTTCTGCATTTCCAGATCCTGCTGAAGGCTTTCGTTTCTTGGGGATTTTTGTTAAAAGGCTTTAGGGACATCGTCATGACAACGACCATTCAGTGCTCCCTCTGCATCTTTCCAGCCCACGTCCACTCACAGACCCTAGTGAACTGAGGCTAACTGTGGCGGTCTAACACCCTCATAAGAACTGACCGTAGACCAGCGCAAAGGTTAGACATTCTCTTTCTGGCCTCTGGTTCTGAACATACCTATAGGCTGTCTGCAGCATGGCTGACACTCTGTTTGAGACAGGGTCTCCAGTAGCCTTGATCGCACTAAGTGGCCAAGGATGACCTTGAGCTTCTGACCTTCCTGCTTTACTGGGGACCAAACCCAAGGCTGCATGCATGCTAGGCAAGCACTCTTCCAACCAAGATACATCCCCAGTCCCTCTAATGGCCTTTTTTTTCCTTTTCTTTTCTTTTTGAGACAGGGTTTCTCTGTGTAGTTTAGTGCCTGTCCTGGATCTCTCTCTGTAGCCCAGGCTGGCCTCAAATCCAGAGATTCACCTGCCTCTGCCTCCCAAGTGCTGGGATTAAGAGTGCACATCACCACCACCTGGCGCACTGGCCTTTTTTAAAAAAACAAACGAACAACAACAAAACTTAATTCTTTATTGATTCTTTGGGAATTTCACATCATGCACCCCAATCCCACTCACCTCCCAGCCCCTCTATATCTACCCCTCATCCCTGCAGTGTGCCCCCCAAATTAATTAAAAACAAAAAGCCCACCTGCTCCTCCATCTCTCCAACACCTCTTCATTCACCACAGCGGCGGCGTCGGGAGCTGCAGTGTGTCACACAGTATATATACCCTTTTGTCCAATCAGCCCCACCCGCAAAATGTTCAATGCAATGAATTGTTGACCTGGTCCAAGGCCTCTGGCACACCATCATCGCTGGGCCCTCAGGGAAACTCCTCTAGGATATCCTGTTGTTCCCCTGAGTCATGGAGATCCTGCAGTTATCATCCATATGACCAGTCTCTTCTTGCGCTCCAGCAGGTCATAGATGGGGCAGATGTTAGGGTGAGCCAACCCAAGGCCCAGGATGTGGATCTGGGTGGTAGCTGAGTTGGTCAGTCCAGGCCACTGGAACCACCCCTCAGGCGAGGGCAGAGCCAGCTCTCCTAGGCCCATGTCATCGGGACCAGCTCCTCCACACCTTTCACTGGCCTTTCTTATTTTTATTTTTTCCTATCACTCCAACTAGAACCGTCTTTCTGGAGGTGAAAGTGCACACATGACCTGACTAACAGGATTCCCACCTGTGTATCCCTTAAACAAACCTCGTGAACCAATGGCTGTGGTTGGACAGTGTTTCGGGAAACCTTATCTACCTCTACATGCGTGCAATTCGTATGTGCATGTCAGTAATGGTCATTCTGCAGATTTATCTCCCTCAGTGAACACCGTTTACCTTCAAGGCAGACCAGTGGCTCACACACACAGCAACTATTAGTTCTAAGCAGCCACCCGGAGCCACACAGGGCAGGCCAGATGGTCCTGGCCAAACAAGGCAGGACCAAGCTGTCCACCAAGGCTGGGGCGAGCCGTCCACCAAGGCAGGACTGAACTCCCCACCAAGGCTGGGCTGAGCCATCCACCAAGGCAGAACCTAGCTGTCCACCAAGGCTGGGCCGAGCCGTCCACCAAGGCAGGACCGAGCTCCCCACCAAGGCAGGGCCGAGCTGTCCACCTGGAAGTCCATTCTTTCAAAGGAGAGGAAAGCAGAGAAGTCCGGAAGCGCCCCGTCCTCTAGAACACTAAAACTTGAATTTCCCGCTCACTTCTTAACTTCCAAAGTCTAGAGAAGCCTGAAGACAAGGCTCCCTCCTACTGCGTATTTCTCACCCAGAGCACCAATTGGGAGCAAGAAAAGATGTTGAGCTCAACTGTGAATGATTCTACAAGGGAGAGTTGTTATTTCCGTTCCAAAGATAACACTACCTGTTTATCAGATACTTTCCCACAGATGTTTATGGGAGAATGGCGAGGACCGGTCAACCCAAGTGTAACCTGGAAGCTAAGGCAATTTCTGGTGCAAACTCCCCATTTCCCTTTGCTCACCCCTTCATCTACTTACGGGGCATTGCGGAATCCAATCCAAGGCCTTTTACATACAAGGCAAGCACCTTTAAAAAGTGTGTGTGTGTGTGTGTGTGTGTGTGTGTGTGTGTGTGTGTGTGTGTGT